GAATGGCCATCAGATAATACAAGAACAATCAATACGCTTGCATTCCCACCAACCAGTGTCCAGTCACCTGTGATCACGCCATCAGCAATATCTTGGTATCTTTATCCGCCATTCACTCTATGTCTTTGAATAAACATCATGTGCGTTTGATGCTTAAACCATGAACATAGGATAGAATGAAGTAGAGTGACCAGCTTTTGGTATAATATTTGCCACGATGTTACCATGAATCGCTTGTTCAGCCCATCTTACTTGATAGTACTGTATACTCCCGGAGCACGTGATATATACGGCCAGCGAAACCATAATAGCATTTAAATGCACTTTTCTTCGGTAAATTATTTATTATTAACTCTCTTCCATATCAACACTCTTGGAGTGGCCAAACATCGGGCTGTAAATCATGAGTGACCAGAGATGTGGCGGCGGTTTTTAAATGATGAGTTGCAGACCAATACTCCCAACACAATGAGAGTATTGGCCCTAAAAATACAAGAACTTACAAACGCTTGCATTCGGGGAAAGGGATATTGGGGTCAGTGATGATGACGATCTGACAACCCTCCCCAACTGTCAGGCTTCCCCCCAGAATCTGTGACCGGGATTGTGATCGGTATTACGTTATCTACAGAATTAATGTAATATCGGTAGGGTATGGGAGGGGTGGGTTTATCGGGATTCCATTCCCCGTCCCGACTAGTGTTGAGTACCCCATAGTGTAACCGTGTGTTCAATACAACCACGAGGGTTTTGGGGCCTTCGGACTGCCATCTACTCCATGTTTTTCCACCATAAATGCATGTGTTATTAAGACATGAAGTAATGCCTGATCAACCATGATCCGATTGCATAGTTACGTACTGACGGGCCTACAGAGCCTGCGGTGCCCGTCAGACCTATTCTGGGTTAAATGGTTAGTGCAAATTAAGCTGGAGCAACCTCAACGACCCAGGGTCAGTCGCAACGTCTGGGACGCATATAAAAGGGCATTGAGTTTGTTATAACCCATTGGTGCCCAGTGGTGTTCGCAACTTTTATCATCATGATTTGTATTAGGTTCAAAATAAATACCGGATTTTGTGGTCAATTTTTTTGGTTAACATTTTTGGATTAATGGGCGGAATATGTGTTCGCATGGATTCAGTCATCAAAATGAAATTCAAGGGATAGTTGTGTCGACAGAATATTCTTCAGACGTATATATGATGAGTATTTTTGTTGTTAAGTAACATTTTGCTGGTAATTATAAAATTGTACAAAAAAAATTAATCAATTCGTTAATTCGTTCGTGTATATAAGCTCATTTCCACAGGTTGACTCCGTTTGAAACAGAATGGTTGTCTCCAAAAATGGTCTTAACAATCACCGTAGTCATCGCGCGGATATGGTTTAGTATAATTATATTTAACCATGCTACTTCAAGTTGGTTAGTTTATACGCCATCCAAATGTGTTTCTGTGTTTTAAGGCCTCCCTTGAGAGGACCCAAACATTATTATACTCGCAAAGGGGTTGTCGTAATACAAGTGCATACCTATACTGTGTATGACATCCGTATACAATATATACTGACGCTAACAGTCGGGTACGTTATGAAGGTTGTAATTATGTTTATGATCGTGATGATTTTGAGTGAATTTTGGGTATGTATTTTTGATGCAACGTCGGTACCCCTCCTCTGCGCACAGGCTATGGTTGTCGGTGGGTATGGGAGGCGGCGAACCGTGGGTTAAGGTTAGGTTAGTTCGCCGCCACCACCGCTCGCCCCGCAGAGAGGGGTTAGGAGTGACTAGTATTTGGTGGACGCGAGGCTTGTTTTGGTTTAGTTGTTACCACCAAATGATGACAATGTTTTACAAAAGGTGTTTATTATTTATTATATTTAATTAGTTAAGCAATTAAGCAAGCACATATATTCGAGTAAAGGTGTCCAACTGAGGCAAACTTTGTCTTACCAACAGAGGTTTTTACCAGAATTGTTAGTGGCATCAGTAGCGCGCCTATACCAACAGTGTAATTATATTCGACCAAGCTACTTCAATTTGGTTAGTTTATACGCCATCCAAATGTGTTTCTGTGTTTTAATGCCTCCCTTGAGAGGACCCAAACATTATTATACCCGCAAAGGGATTGTCGTAATACAAGTGCATACCTATACTGTGTATGACATCCGTATACAATATATACTGAAGCTAACAGTCGGGTACGTTATGAGAGTTGTGATAGTAACGGAACATTTTGTCCCACAAGTTATTAGTGATTGTGTTTATGATCACGATGATTTTGAGTGAATGTTGAGTATGTATTTTTGATGCAACGTCGGTACCCCTCCTCTGCGCACAGGCTATGGTTGTCGGTGGGTATGGGAGGCGGCGAACCGTGGGTTAAGGTTAGGTTAGTTCGCCGCCGCCACCGCTCGCCCCGCAGAGAGGGGTTAGGAGTGACTAGTATTTGGTGGACGCGAGGCTTGTTTTGGTTTAGTTGTTACCACCAAATGATGACAATGTTTTACAAAAGGTGTTTATTATTTATTATATGGGAATCAAATTATTTGTGTCTTTGCTTTTTATTATTGATTATTGTTATTAATGATAGTATTCCGTGTCTTTCGACGCCTCTATGCTTTCATAATGTGTACTAAAAGTGACTGAAAGTAAATGCGAGACATAATATATGAGATTAATTTGTTATTTGTTTTTGTAATACTTTTACAATATCTCTTGTATAGTATGTTTCTGACGCTATTTTATTTTTATGTTTGGCAATTAAAGGTTTTATGTATTTTATCAACATTTCTCTCTCTCTCTCTCTCTCTCTCTCTCTCTCTCT